ACAAGACGTCACGCCTCGAATTGCGCGCGGAGCCTGCCCGGCGGGAGCGTCGTTGACAGCGGAGTCACGGCAGCAATCGGCCTCCGAGGCCAGCGGGAGAGCGCGGGCGTCGGAGGCCCCCCGTGGGGAGCGCGGGGGCAGGCCTCCGCCGCAGGTTCCCGCGGGGTCCCCCGCGGCTGCAGCGGCGGTCGAGAAATCCAGCCCCGCGCGGGGACGTCGGTCGGAGTCGCCACAGGGAGCCCTGTGGTCCCGAGTGGGGCGAGGGGAAGGAGGAGGGGGAGGAGCAGGAAGCGAAGGCGGAGGAGGAGAGGGAGCTTCGTGCAGGGCCCACTGGTCGCCCTCGTCGTAGCACGACCGGACACCGATGGTGTTCACGTGGCCCCAATAAGACTCCTGCTGTGGGCTCACCTGGCGGTCAGCAGGAGAAGGGTGAGGAACAAGTGGACGAAGAGAGGCAGAAGGGGGGGAACGACGGGAGGAGGGGGAGCAGGGGCGGGCCAGGAGGACGAGGAGGAAGAGGGAGAGCAGCACCAGGAGGCGCAGCGAGCATCAGAGCTACCAACAGCAAGAGCAAAAGACGAAACCACCATCGCGACAGCAGCGAGAGGCACGATCACACGCACGACAGATTGCGACGGCTGACGGGCAGGACGACCACGACAGCAGAGGGCCTCCTGAAAACCGCGCCGGGAGGCACTGCAACACTCCGAGGCCATCAGCGCAGCGACAGGCCCAACACCCGCAGAGGAAAGCCGGGAGCCCTGCTGCAAAGGAGGGGCAGCGGGCGCGCACGAGAACTCGGGGAACAAAGAGTGACATAAACATAAAAACTCGCAGGTCCGCGCGGACCTGCGAGTTTTCATGCTTATGTCATTCTTCGTTCCCTTAAGACTGTGCCCCCAACCTGGTGGCCCTGTTTTCGTCCAAGCCCCACGGCTGGCGAACAGTCGAATGCGATCTCGCTACGGCAAGTTCGTGTCGTGCCGACTTCGGCATGGTTTCTAACACCGCGGGGATCGTTCAACCTTGAATGATCGGCCGGTTCCGAAAAGTCAGATCGTTCAAGATCGACCGATTCTGGGTCGCCGGCGGCGTTCAACGTTGAACAGCGGCGGCGGGGTCGCCGACGGCCGACACGACACGAACCTACCGTAAACAGATTGAAGCAAGATCGCCGCAACCAGGAGGCGGGGAAAATGCGGCTTGCGCTGCCCAAAAACCACTGGTTCCTGGCAGCGCCAGAGCCATCGAGCAAGACAAGGTGGGGAACCTGGCAAACAATTGGCTTCAGGGTGCCCCCCGGGAGCTGTCTTGCAAGTGAAGGATTCGTAGTCCGTGAGTCCACGGATCCTCCTCCTTCTCCTCCTCCTCCTCCTCCTCCTCCATCTCCGCCGCAAGATGGCCTGCAGCAAAAAAAAAAAAAAAAGACTGCGGGCACGGCGACCAGGCACGTGCTTGTGCCGCCCACAGCGGGCAGACGCTTGGCTCACCCCCTGGGCCCAGGAGGGGCCAAAAGACGGCCCAAGATGGCCTCAGGACGGCCCGAGACTACCAAGACGCCCCAAGAGGACCCACGGGAAAGCCCCCCAAAAAATTGCCCGAGACGTGGCTTCTCCAAGCGAGGCGAATATTTGTATGAATGATCCATGTAAAAGAACACATCGACAGATATGCACGATCATCTCCGCCGTGCCTCCCAGGAACGCACGACCATACAGACAGTTGTGCGAATGGCAGCCTCGCTGGGAGCCGCGAGGCATCCTCCGGGCGCGCGTGGCCCCCGACTCCGCTGGACCTCCCAGGAGCCCACGAAAGTGGCGACAGCTGCGCACTTCGCAACTACCCAGGGAGCACCGAGGTCCAGTCTGGGTCCGCGTGGCCCCCGACTCCGCTGGACCTCCCAGGAGCCCACGAAAGTCGCAACGGTTGCGCACTTCGCGACTACCCAGGGAGCACCGAGGTCCAGTCTGGGTCCGCGTGGCCCCCGACTCTGCTGGACCTCCCAGGAGCCCACGAAAGTCGCAAAGGTTGCGCACTTCGCAGCTACCCAGGGAGCAGCGAGGTCCAGCCTGGGTCTACGTGGCCCTCGACTCCGCTGGACCTCCCAGGAGACCACGAAAGCGGCAGCCACCCAGGGAGCAGCGAGGTCGCCGTCTGGGTCCGCGTGGCCCCCGACTCCGCTGGACCTCCCAGGAGCCCACGAAAGTGGCGACAGCTGCGCAGTCCGCAGCCACCCAGGGAGCAGCGCAGGAGGAGGCAGGAGGGGGGAGGCGGGAGAGGAGGAGGCGGAGGAGGAGGAGGAGGACGACGAGGAGGAAGAAGAAGAGAAAAAAAAGGAGGAGGAGGAGGAGGAGCAGGTGGAGACAGTTCTATATTCAAATCCAGAAACTAACATTACATCAGAGAAACCCCTAACAATGGAATTATGATGTGTTTCGCAGGTACCTCGATCGGCATTCCTTCCGCACTAGTCGAGTTCGAATATACGTTGCAGCCCAGTATAGTTATTAGTTGTTCCTCTCTCTCTCTTGCTTTCTGTCTCTCTCTTTCTCGCTCTCTCTCTCTCTCTCTCTCTATGTCCCTCTCTCCCTCTCTCCCTCTCTCTCTCTCTCTCTCTCTCTCTCTCTCTCTATATATATATACATCTATATATATATATATATATATATATATACCTATATTCCTTCTACCGATGAAATTACACGGGAAAACCCCACAGGTCACCGGCACCCCCCCGCACATACCCCCCAAATATGCGCCCCACGCCCTCCCATTGGTGATCCAAGGAGCCCCTCCCGCAGCCTCCTCCTAACCTTTCCTGGGCCTCCACCCTCCCCAAGACGCCGACGATTGCCCCAAGGCGGCCTAAGAAACTGCAAAACCAGCCCTAGAGCCTGCTAGGACGCCTGCCGGGAGGAGCCAAAGTGACTAAAACCAATGGTTTTTTACCTAACAGCTTTTGCTGATAGGTTTCTAGTAGGGTCAAAAGAGAGCACCATGACTCCTCAGGGGGGTCTGGGCGGGTGCCGGGGAGGAGAACTGGGAACAGAACCGGGAACAGAGCCGGGCTCGCTTTTCGCCAACAGTCACACACCTCGTGCTCTTCGACCTCCCAGAACTCCATTCCCGGGCCACATTCTGGATGCCCGGAGCCATCTGTAGGCCACTTCGTGCTCTTCGACTTCCCAGAACCCCATTCCCGGGCCACATTTTGGATACCCGGAGCCAACTGTAGGCCACTTCGTGCTCTTGGACTTCCCAGAACACCATTCCTGGGCCACATTGTGAATGCCCGGAGCCAACTGTAAGCCACTTCGTGCTCTTCCACTTCCCACAGCTCCACTCCCGGGCCACTGTTGCTGCTGCTAGTGTAGCTATTGTTATTGCAACTACTGGCAGTGCCACTGCGACTGCCGCTGATGTTGCCACTGCGACTGCCACTGCGAATCCGAATGCCAGGCTGAGGCTGAGGCAGGCTGAGGCTGAGGCCGAGGCCGACGGCAGACTGAGGCTGAGGCTGAAGGCAGGCTGAGGCAGAGGCAGGCTGAGGCTGAGGCTGAGGCTGATGCTGAGGCAGGCTGAGGCTGAGGCTGAGGCTGATGCAGGCTGAGGCTGAGGCAGGCTGAGGCTGAGGCCGAGGCTGAAGGCAGACTGAGGCTGAGGCTGAAGCAGGCTGAGGCTGAGGCTGAGGCTGAGGCTGAGGCTGAGGCAGGCTGATGCTGAGGCAGGCTGAGGCTGAGGCTGAGGCTGATGCAGGCTGAGGCTGAGGCAGGCTGAGGCTGAGGCCGAGGCTGAAGGCAGACTGAGGCTGAGGCTGAAGCAGGCTGAGGCTGAGGCTGAGGCAGGCTGAGGCTGAGGCTGAGGCAGGCTGATGCTGAGGCAGGCTGAGGCTGAGGCTGAGGCTGATGCAGGCTGAGGCTGAGGCAGGCTGAGGCTGAGGCGAGGCTGAAGGCAGACTGAGGCTGAGGCTGAAGCAGGCAGGCTGAGGCTGAGGCAGAGGAGGCTGAGGCTGAGGCTGAGGCTGAGGCAGGCTGAGGCTGAGGCCGAGGCTGAAGGCAGGCTGAGGCAGGCTGCAGGCTGAGGCTGAGGCTGAGGCTGAGGCTGAGGCAGGCTGATGCTGAGGCAGGCTGAGGCTGAGGCTGAGGCTGATGCAGGCTGAGGCTGAGGCAGGCTGAGGCTGAGGCCGAGGCTGAAGGCAGACTGATGCTGAGGCTGAAGCAGGCTGAGGCTGAGGCTGAGGCAGGCTGAGGCTGAGGCAGGCTGAGGCTGAGGCTGTGACTGCGACTGCCGTTGCCACTGCGACTGTCATCGCGAATTCGACTACGACTGCGAGAACAGCAGAATTCTACAACTGGATCCCCATCCGAATCTTAAGGGGAATGCTTCCAGATATGCTCCTACACATCGCTGTCAGGTTGCTTTGCCGGGATAATCCTAGGTTCCGATCCTTTCTCGACTTTCTGGGCTTCCCAGTTTTCGCACGCCCCGACACGGCCCAAAAGGATTGCAGAACCGCCTCAACGCAGTCCCAGACACGGTCCACGACAGCCAACAAGATGCCCCCCTGATGGACCACGAACTCCCATGGTACCCCTTCCGCAGCCTCCTCCTAGCCTTTCCTGGGCCTCCACCCCCCCCAAGACGCCGACGATGGCTCCAAGGCTGCCCTTGAAGCCGCAAAAACAGCCCTATACCACTCTAGGACGCCAGGACGCCTCCCAGGAGAAGCCAAAGTTGCCAAAACCAATTGTTTTTTTCTCCACCGGTTTTTGTAATTTCTCACCTTTCCGGCCTCAGTTGCCATGCGCTCCGAGACGCCCCAGTAGCCTTGCAAACCCACCCCAACACAGCGCAAGAGATTCCTAGCACGGCCTGGGCGAGCCCCAAGACTTTCCACAACCACCCCATGCTCGCCCCAAGATGGCCCAAGACGTTCCCATGATGGTCCAGAGGGGCGCCAGGATACCCGAAAAAATACCCCAGAGGCTCCAAGCATACCCCGAAACGGCCTCTGCAACCACTCCACCGATCGCGACGAGCCTCCTACGCTTCTGCCTACAAGCTTGCGACACATCCCAGGACGCACGCACCAGCTTCCGACATGCCCCCACGACACTCCGAGACGGCCCCTGAGGCAACTGACGGGTCTCCTGCACCTTCACGCGGCGCCCGAGTCGCCCTCTTCACGTCTCCAAGCCTCCGTAGCGGCACCCAAAGGGCCCACGGAACCAGAATGTCATGCCCACTTCTCCTTAGGTGTGTCCCCCCTTCACTCATCATTCTTCCCCGCTCCACGCTCTCGCCCTTTTGTCCCGCACCTCCTGCCGACCAGTGACCCGCAGGGACCAAGATGCCACTGGCAGGCGCCCTACGCCTACAAGAGGCCCCCAGGACGCCCCGACCACGACCCGAAGCATCCAGGACGCACGCACCAGCTTCCGACATGCCTCCACGACACTCCGAGACGGCCCAAGAGGCAACTGACGGGTCTCCTGCACCCGCACGCGGCGCCCGAGTCGCCCCCTTCGCGTCTTCAAGCCTCCGTAGCGGCACCCAAGAGGGCCAGGGAACCAGCATTTCATGTCCATTTCTCCTTAGGTGTGTCCCCCCTTCACTTCTCATTCTCCCCGCTCCACGCTCTCGCCTTTTCGCCCCGCACCTCCTGTCGACCAGTGACCCAGAGGGGCCAAGATGCCATTGGCAGGCACCGCACGCCTTCAAGAGGCCCCCAGGACGCCCCGACCACGACCCGAAGCATCCATAGACGCACACAGCACGCCAAGGGAACCCGAACTTGATGCCCACTGCACCTTGGGCCGCCACCCCCCTTTTTCACCTCCCCCCCTTGCCCCCATCCCCGCTATTTCATCTGGGCCCCTCGACAACCGCACGACTTTCCCACGCGGTCTTAATCCCCCCCCCCAAGAGGACCCTCGAGGCCACCTGCAGATCTCCATCGAGGCCCCCCCGCCCCCCCCCCCCGCCCCGAACCCGCATCAGGACAACCAGACTCTGGTGCATACAACTCCACGCGGTATCCAGCGCCCGTTGACCGCCGACGTTCGGGCTCGAAGGGCGGAGCTGCTTTCGTCTAGCAGATGATAATTTCACCCCCACGCCCGCTGCTCTGCTCCATGGGGCCCCAACGTACATCATTCACTAGCAGCGCCTGCAAGAAGGAGTTGCCACGCGAGTGCTTCACGCCCACCCAATTGAACAGAGCCATCAAAAATTGCAAAGACTGCGCCAACAGCCACGGCAGGCAGACATCGTTCACATGCTGCGCCTGCTCCACCGCACTGCCACGAGACTCATTCTCAGCCAAGCAACTGCACAAACAAGTCAGAACATGCATAGCATGCGCCAGCAACCACAACAAGCCAGCTGCGACCCTACTCTGTGCTCGCTGTCACGAGAACCTCCCGCCAGAGGACTTCACAGTTCGGAGCCGACGCAGAACCGACCGCATTTGCAAAGCATGCGTTGCGCAGCCGGCCTCCTTCTTTGTCTGCGTACGACGCGGTGAAACATTGCCGACAGGAGATTTCGCTGCCAGCAGGCGCGAGCGCAGTCAGAAAGTATGCCGGTACTGCGGCCAACCAGGGCGCCCACCAGACGCAACTGCTCGCATAGACTTGGGCCCCATGACGCACACGTGCCCCCATTGCTCTGCCAAGTCGTTTCAGTGCGAAGGCGATGGTTTTTGTTGCGGCGGCGGGACGCATTACGTCGACACGTCGCGCTACTACAAGCCCCCCGCAGGCGCCCTCTTGGACCTCTTCCGCACCACGTGGCTGTACAAGGACCAGCAGGGGCGCCCAGTACACGACCCCACTACAAATGGACCTCGCCTGACGGGGCTTTCCGCCATTAGCAGGCGATGCAATAGTTTGTTTTCGTTCGCAGCTCACGAGATTCAGAGCACCACTTCAGAAAAGGAGCTGCAATTCGGAAACGAGCTGCGACTTTCCAACATCAGGATCCATGGCACGATGTACCGGCGGATTTGGAGCTGCGCAGACACCACGCCTGCACGTTACATTGTCGTCGACCCTCGGGGGCGTGGCACGAGCGCTACTGCCCAGAACGTGGACATCCGTTTGGTTCGGCGCCTGGAGAGACTTATCCTTCCACACAATGGCTATGCAAAGAAGCTCCGACGACTGTCCGCTCCCTCAGCTCGCGGCGCCGCTGATGCAGTCGAGCTACAGTGGGCATCAACGAGCCCGCTGCGATTGTGCACGAAACACCGCACGTCGACGTTTCTGCACGTTCGGTTTTGTTCCGCTGGACCTCGTGCCCCACGCCGCAGTATCTCAATCCGTTGAGCGCACTCTACGAGCCGCTGAGTTACCCACTCTGGTTTCCCCACGGCGGCCGCGGGTGGGGCACCGATATCGTGACGGACGCGGGACAGCGCCTCTCGCAGATGTGGAGGAGGGGAAGGACGAGGATGAGGAGGAGGAGGAGGCGGAGGAGGCGAAGGAGGCGGAGGAGGATGAGGAAGAGGAGGATGAGGAGAAGGAAGAGGAGGAGGAGGAGGAGAAGGAGGAAGAGGATGAGGAGAAGGAGGAGGAGGAGGAGAAGGAGGAAGAGGAGGAGGAAGAGGAGGAAGAGCAGGAGCAGGAGGAGGAGGAGGAGGAGGAGGAAGAGGCGGAGAAGGAGGAGGAGGAAGAGGAAGAGGAGGAAGAGGAGTCGGAGGGACATTCCAATGCCGCATTCTCGCAACCAGGACACAGCCACACTACCACAGCCCTGACAACAACCACCTGGGATCTTATTGTCGGCCCGCCCCCGGGTCCGTGCGCACAAGGAGCCACGTGGGCCCCGTCTTGGCCCCGCAATATACGTATACGTGGCACTTCTAGCAGCGTCGCAGCTCAGTGTGGATATTCGATACAACGCCCAAGCGCCTGCCAGGTACAAGAGCCAAGACTAGAAGGCGAAGCGCAGCGAGCCTTAAAATCTTGTGTGCATATCCATATGTATATATATGTGTGTATATGTATATCCCTCTCTCTATGTCTCTCTATCTCTCTCTCTCTCTCCCTCCCGTGGCGCGTGGGTGTCCCGTGATATGCGATATGCTACCGATCGTGATGTCGATTGTGAAATCGCTAGTGATATCGATAGTGGCATTGATTGTGAGATATCGATTGAAAGACATGGATTATATCGAGTGGCATGGATAGTGAGATCGATAGTGCGATCGATCGTGGGACCGATAGTGAGATCGATAGCGAAATCGACAGTGAGATCGATCGTGAGCTCGATAATAAGATCGATTGAAAAATTGATGGTGAGATCGATAATGAGATCGACCAAAAAAACAGGAACCTGGGAACTGGGTCCCAAAAACTTGAACCCTGGGAACCCCGCCGCCCACCAAAATCGATCCGGAACCAGCAACCGGGAACCCGGGGACCCGGAACCGGGAGCCCGGGAACCCACCCGCCCACCGAAATAGGCCCAGCATTTTCGCCAAATCTTCCAACTTCCGCTAGGGCCCCTTCAATGCAAAGACTGATTCGGGAACAAGAGGGTTTGGAAAAAAATGTGATGTTCCGTAAGTGCTTGGTGGAATTTCTGATTCTCGCCTTATCCGTCTGAAGAGCGTCCAAGACGGCCCAAAGGCCCCCAAGACTGGCCCACGAGGGCCCAAAAGGATCTCAAGAGGGTCTCAAGATAGCCTCAAGGACCCGAAGAGGTCCCAAGGCGGCCCAGAGAGGCCCCCCGAACACCGTCTCCGAAGATGCCAGACGGCCGAAGAGCGCCGCAAGACGGGCGCAGAGAGCCCCAGGATGGTCCGAGGAAGCCCCAGGATGAAGGCCGAAGTGGTGCAAAAAGAAGCCCAGGACACCCCCAGGACAGCTCCAGAGAGCCCCTCCCAAGCGTTCCCCCAAGCAGCTTCCCCGACGGGACTGGTGGAGCGCGCTGTCCACCAGCGCGGCCGCGCTGTCGCTGGACACTTCACGACATGGCGTTTCCAAGGGCAAGGGGCAGCGGGGTCTCGACGCAGGCGTCGTGGATGACCCCCGTACATGTTCCATGGCCAGGAGTAATTACCACTAGTGCAAGACCCTGAAGGGAGCTATCGAGTTTGAAACTCGAATGAGGTGTGTGTGTGTGCGTGTGTGAAAACCGTGGGCGAGAGGGGGGGGAGGGGAAGGGGGGGCGAGGGAGAGGGGGAGGGCGACAATGAGGGGGAGGGCGAGGGAGGAGTTCGAGGAGAGCAGGGGAAAAAGAGAGAGGGGGAGGGGAAGGGGGAGGGGGAAGGGCCGGGAAGGGATGGTCAAGGGGAGGAGGAGGGCCGGAGGAGGCTGAGAGACTCGGCGAGCACGCAAGCCTCAGGATCGCCGTAGACCTCGCTGGTGGACGCCTGCAAGATGCGCGCCTTCACGCGCTTGGCCAGCCCCAGCATGTTCATCACGCCGAGCACGGACACCTCTCTGCCAGAAGACGGAACTTTCTGCGCCGCAGCGCGGCGGCGCGGCGGAGACGAGCCTCACGCGCGTCTGGGCGAGACCGGGGCACGGTGTCACAAGGGAGGGGGGGGGTAGCTTCGAGGACCCCCCCCCCTTTAGCCAGGGCCCCCCCAGCTCATAACTGCTTCCCAAAAAAAGGGGGGAGGGGGGGAGCTTCGGAAGCTCCCCCCCCCTTTTCGAAGGAACAGGGGGGCGGGCAGCTGGAAGCTGGATATCCCCCCTTTTAGTATTGAGTTCCGCACGGGCGCGCTCTTTCAGAGGAGGGTGGGTGGCGAGGAAAGGCGAGGGAGGCGGCCACGGCAGGGGGGGCTGGGCGCGGGGGACACTCACGCAGCAGGGCTGCGGCGAGCGGGCGGGGGCGGAGCACACACCTCGGCGAACGACCCCCACGGCAGGCATGCGACCGGCCCTCTGGGCGAAGGGGGGGCCTGAGCAGCCCCCCGCCCCCTCTCCCCACAGTAGGAGCTCGACCACGAGAAACCTTCGACAGGAAACCCAACCCTGAGACCCCAGCACGCCCCTTGATTTTTGGTGTGGGCACGTCACGCTTCCCACAGCAAAACCATCGACACCCAAAGAAGCCCAGGGCGGCACCCTGGAGGCAAGCAGGGTGTTTCTTGGCATGGGCTTCCACTGTCGTTACCATTTCGTCCGAGGGTTTCGGGCCTCAGAACCACGAGGCGCTGGAGCGCCCAAGGCGCACGGAGTTGAGGACGGGTGCGACCAGGCGGTGGCTGATTCAGACGGTGGGCGTGTACCCTGCCAACTTCCGCACCGCCAACTGATGCTTCCCGAAGGGAAGAGCGGGCTGAGGAAGAAGGCCGACGATATGATCTTTCCGTGCACGGGGCCAGGTTTCCGCTCTGGACCCATGTTTGATGGTCCCCAGGCTCGATAACGGGCCCTGGAGGCTGAAATTGCGGAAAAACGCTCAGGTATTAGAAGAAACACACTTTGCCAGAGATCTGGGAAGCACGTTCCCGAATGTTCACATCAATACGCTGTCCTTCCTCGTTGCCGCCGTGACTCTGCCTCAGTCCCATGTGGGCCCCAGGGGGAGTGCTGCCTTAGTTGTCTTGATCGGGTTGAACTGGTAGTGCACGGGCGACGCTGGGCAGGCCATGTTGTAGATCTGGTCGCACTCGCAATAGAACGGCTCCTGCCCTCACCGTGACCTGACTCCGAGCAGGAACGCGGCTCAGGCTGAGTATCGTTTAACCGATCCCTACCCCCAGCGCCGTGGCCTGGGCCCCGCTGGCCGATTTACCCCCCTAGATAGGGATGTAGGCCGTTCCCTTCGGCTTTCCAGGGGTGCATCCCCAACTGTGCTGGCAATTTGGTGGGGGTCTCGAAGGGGATGGAGATGGGGATGGGGATCGGCTAAACGATCCTGACAGGCGGGGCATTGCCCGAGACATCCTCGGCGAAGGCCCAAGTCCCAAAAAACCGCACGGTCGCCCCAACTCTCTACTGACTCGACCACCACACGGTGTGGTCGCCGCACCGTTGGGGGGTCCCCGGGGATGAGGGGCAACGACACGGGGGGATAGACACAGGGGGGGATGAATCGACATGGAATCGGCGATACATCGTCGATGGGTCGGCGTGAGGCCCCCGATAGTGAGTCCGCACCTTCCTGGGCGGGGTGGGGCGTTGGGTCCCTATCGGCGATCAGTGGGCGATGGGGGGTCGATGTATCCCCCCAATGCCTATCCCCCCCTATCGCTGCCCCGATGGGAGGGGCCAGAGCAGGACGCCGAGGCAGGTGGGGGCTGCGTCTGCCGCACGAGCACTTCTGCCACGGGGGTCAGCGACTCTCTGTTGTGACCGCTGCTGCACGGCCTTGCACCGGCTGGGGGGGCGTCATGTCGGGATGATGCCTGTCTTTCGAGTCTCTTCGCTGGCACGCATCAAGTAAGGTGATGTCCAGGAGGCCGCTTGTTCATATCGTGGCCCGCTCGAAGCTCTCGTCGAGAACCAGTGCCAGGAGCGGGTCAGGACCCTCCACGAGACCATGAAAACAGCGAGCTGTAAGGCAAACGTCTGCTCACCTGCCCCAGAAAATACAAACGCCTGTAGATTTGTGCGTTTTGGCTTGGAGACCAGGTGTCTGGTGCGAAAGCACAGCAGATGTAGAGACTCCCTGCTGCGTGCGACCACAGGGGTGAGCGCACTGCCTTCTGCCTGTGACCATGCCAGTACACTAAGCCATTGAGGCTCTGATGCTACTACGTGCCACTCACTCCCACCAAATCCGCCCAAACCTGCATGCCTCTCTCTGCCCCGCTGATCCGTGACGTCGTGCCGGATAAGCTCGAAGCGTGGATGGCCGATCAGGTCAGAGATGTTCGTGCGCTGGCTTGTGAAATAGTTGTCGAGGCACATGACTTCATGGCCCTGCAGACGGATTTGCACCAGACAAAAAACCTTTGACAGTTGTTTGGGGACATACTTAGAAAGACATGGCCCAACAAAGGCTTCCTCCTCCATCGACCTCCCGCCTCCCTTCTGGCGACAACTGGAGCAGCCGCAACACACCGTTGTCGATATGTCTCTGCAGAGAAATCCCAAGAGATCTGCACCTCACGGGTAGTAAGCCTGAGTACGCTACGAGTGCCCCCAACGACGTCCTTCAAATATCCCTCGGCAACGACGAGCACATGTGTTAGCCAGAAAAATCCAAGCCCAAACAATACGGACGAACACATATTTATGAAACTACGATACCATCACAAGATCGCACAACGTCTTAACATAATAACTGAGCATGGCGCTCCGACATAGTGAGTGGCGATGAGGGCGCTCATTCTGCCGATGATCCAAGCAAAACATGAATGCCTTCCTAAATGCAAGATTGCCCTGCAAGACATGATTGGCTCCACGGCTCACTCCTTCCACACGCCAGCGGACATTTCGGACGCGCAGTGCAGTCTGCTCTGTGTACGGAGCGCGCGCAGACGACAGGATACAAGGTCAAGTGAAGTCCAGCGACGATGTCTTTCTTTGTTTGAAGAGCAGCCCACGATTGCCCTCATCTTCCCCTCCTCCTCCTACTCCTCCTCCTCCTCGTCCCCTACATTCTGGGCCAGGATGATTCGGGTCAGGACGAATAACTCTCTACATTCTGGCCTTTGGCAACAGTCCACTGCTGTACGCACATTCCGTGCCGTCCTTCTGCACACGCTAGAGCATCAATGATGCGTCAGGCTCAAAAATCCACACACTGCGATCCGAAGTAATCAACGCAGCACATTCAGACACGCGTGGCAGAGCTCATCCGGTCACCTGGCCTTCACGATCTGTGGCTGGCGCAGCCAACGCGACTTCTCAAACTCGCATCGTACCCTTACTCTGGTGCATGTCTGGCACGAACCGTGCTCGCACAGTGAAGATCATTTAGCGTTCATAGAGATGCATGTGATCAAATGCCCGTCACGTTAGTCCACTGTTTGTCAGTTCTAACGCGAAGACAGTCTCCCCAAAGCAATGCTTGCACTTAGGGGTATTACATCTTTTCTCAGGACCTGGGCTGGATTGTCGGTTTGGTGGCTATGTTGTCGCCGTCGCCGCCTGGTCGCCGCCTCGTCGCCGCCTCGTCGCCGCCCGTCGTCTGGGCCTGATTGACGGTATGGCGGCTATGTTGTCGCCGTCGCAGCCCCGTCGCCGCCTTGTCGCCGCCCTTCGCCTGGGCCTGATTGTCGGTCTGGCGGCTGTGTTGTCGCCGTCGCCGCCCCGTCGCCACCTCGTCGCGGCCTCGCATACTTGTGCCACATTAATTGCATCACATTGATTGCACCACATAGGTTGCACCACATCGACTGCATCTTATAGATTACACCATCTAGATTGCACAACCTAGATCGCAATACATCGATTCCACAACCTAGATCACAACGCCGAAGTTGCACCACATGGACCACACGCCCTGTATTACAACACCTAGATCGCACCGCATGCATTGCACCACAAAGATTCCACCACCTGTATTGGCTGCAGCACATAGGTTGCACAACATGCACTACATAGATTGCACAACATATAATGATCGCACAATCTAGACGGCACCGCATATGTTGCACAACCTAGATCGCACAACATAGCATCACATAGATCGCACCGCAAACATTGCACAACATAGATTGCACCACGTCGACTGAATCAGATGTATAGATTGCACCACATAGATTGCACTACCTAGATTGCACAGCCCAGGTCGCACAACCTAGATTGCACAACATAGGTCACACCGCTCATACAAAGCGGATGCAACCGCAAGAAACCCTCGGAAGAACGCCAGCTCTGCAAGCCCACGCGCGAGTTGCGTACGCGGGGGGGGGGGGGGGCAGATCACCCTTGACGTACCAGCTTCTTCGACGGCCGCGAGAAGTCACCGCGCAGCGCGCGGAGCGAAGAAAACCAGATTACCCTGGCGGAACGCATCTGGTTTCTAGATGCACGACCCCACTGTATTGCACAACCTAGATCGCACAGCACAGGTTGCATAACACAGATTGCACAGCATAGATTGCATCGCATAGATTGCACCACATAAAATGCACAACCTAGATTGCACCACGCACAACAGATGCTGCACACAATAGACTGGACGATCACGAGATATATCGCACAACATAGACTGCACAGCAAAGATCGCTCCACATACATTGCAGCACATCGATTGCACCGCTCATACTGCACCACATAGATTTCAAAACACATGCTTGCTCCACATAGGTTGCAAAAAATATGTTGCAAGAACCACACTGGCAGGGGTCCATGATGGCTAACATATTCACCATTGCTGCGAACATGCAAGGTTGAGACCGTGATCCGTATATCCGCCGCCGCGCCGACTGCACGTCGAGGCGTGTCAGAATGCCTGTGTCAGCTGCCTTGGAGGATTTCTGTGTTTCTAGGGGCGATGCCCAACCCCTAAGCACACAGACTTGGAAGAAATCCCCCCACACACACCACACCTGCCTGTTCTTCCCCTGCCCAGAGCTTGGCGGCCTAGAGACCAGCCAAGAAGCCTCAAAGACGGTGCATGAACGCCCCACGGCGCCTCAAGAGAGCCCAAGAGAGCCCCAGCAGGCCAGCAGATGGCCTCAGGAGGCAACGGAGGCGTCCAGGAGGCTTCTGGAATGCTCATGGTCTTGAACATCATACCAGCGCCTGGGCCCCAGACAGTGAAAGGGCAAGGGGCTGACAGAGCAACGAAGGACAGGCTACGGGTGGGGCCTCATAGCAAACAACCACGACGCCCGACGTTCAATCATAGCAACGGTCAGGCCGCACGGGCTCCGACGGTCAACCAGAATTAAGCCCGACACGCGGGGGCAACTCTGGGCGGGGACCCCGTGGCAGGATCGTGTTGCCAGCCACCACGTAAGCAAAACTCTCTCTCTATCTCTCTCTCTCTCTCTCTCTCTCTCTTTCTTTCTCACACACACACGTGCACATTGTAGCCTATGAACCCGGCCAACAGGAGAAAATGGTGCCAGAAAAGGGCGGGCCCCGTGGCCGACCACCACAGAGCACAACACGCACCAGCAAGCCTTGGCCTTCACAAGCAAGAAACGACCTCCAACAACCACGATACCTAAGACACGTGTGCGATCAAGTCGGGGCACCTGGGTGGACTCTGTGAGGGCGACTGCTCCACCACCACCTCCTCCTCAACCTCCTCGTCCTCGTCCTCGTCCTCCTCCTCCTCCTCCTCCTCCTCCTCCTCAACCTCATCCTCCTCATCCTCCTCCTCCTCATCCTCCTCATCCTCCTCCTCCTCCTCCTCGTCCTCCTCCTCCTCCTCCCTCTCGTCCTCCTCCTCCTCCTCCTCCTCCTCCTCCTCCTCCTCCTCCTCCTCCTCCTCCCCCTCCCCCTCCTCCTCCTCCTCCACCCACTCCAACGTCTCGCGTTCGCACCGAGGGTCCAGCGTCCGCCGCCCGAGCGGAGCAGCTCGCCCCGGCAGGCTCAAGGATGTGGCGTCGCCACGGGCCCCGAGCACGCGACGCGCGCAGCTGCCCGGACATCCTGCGCCAGGTCCGTGCGGCGTCGGCGCGCACAGAGGTTTTGACACAGGACCCGGCAGGATCTTTTGAGAAGTGTTCAAAATCGGCGGCGAGCCTGGGGGGAAGTGAGAAGGGGCGGGCCTTCCCAGAAGGCTCAGAAGTCCCCCGGCCTTCTGAGAAGTTGTCTAAGCCTTCCCCGGAGACACGGAACACCTCTCAGAAGGCGCGAGGGCTTCTGAGAAGTCCCGCCGCCTTCTGAGAAGGCCTTCTCCTCCTCACTTTCCCCCCCTCGCCCGCCGCCGACAACGGGAGTCCCGTTCGAGCGCGGCCACGCCGCCCCACCCCCTTCGTAGACAGCACCCTCCGACGACGACCTCCCCCACGAGCTGGACAGATGGCCAGTGGAACGTCTGCAGGGCGCTAGGTTCGTGCGGCGTCGGCGCGCACAGAGGTTTTTGACACAGCGTCGATCGTTCAACCTTGAGCCGATCGCGGCACCGATCGTTCAAGGTTCAACTCTGTCGGATCCGGTGGCTTTGCCGCGTCCCTGGGTGCGTCCGCGTCGCAGAATTCGACATTGAACGCCTTCGCAAGCATCGCCGAGGTGCCAACGCCGCATGAACCTACCGTAACCCTCCATCCCCCTTCCCTCATGTGCTGCTCCCAGCCACCCTTCTCCCTTACTCACCGATCGGAGGAAGTGGGTAGAAACGTGAAGTAGGAAGACGTTGACAGCAGATTGGGCTTCCGCCCGCCCTCTGGACGGGAAGGAAGAAGGAAAACCATTCGGCGATTGCAATAGGAAGGCGCCTAAAGTAAATTAGAATCTGGGAATCCAGAAACGCCTGCTTTCAACGAACGATGAGTGCCCCTCTCAAGCCATCGCCCTCCTCCCATCTTCCTCGCTGATCTGGGCCCCCGCCGCATCCCTTCACCACTTCGCCCTTCCCCCTTCCCCCTTCTCGGCGGCGAGCCTGGGGGGAAATAAGAAGGAGCGGACCTTCTCACAAGGCTCGGAAGTCCCCCGGCCTTCTGAGAAGGTTTCTAAGCCTTCCCCGAAGACTGAAAAGGCGGATTCGGGGCGAAAAATGAGAAGTAGTCAACAGAATACTCAAAAATAGCCACAAATAATCGAAAAATCGTCCCGATATTATGTTTTGACTATTTTGGGATATTCCTCGTGTAGAGGGACATGCCCGACTTGACCCCAACCCCCACAACAACTTGTTTCCGAGGCCCAGCGCCTGAGTGCAGCTCGCAGTGTGCTGCTAGCACGGCACTATGCGGGGTCTCCGAGGCAGCATCCTGCGGTTTGGGGAAGATCCACAGCGTAGGCCCGTCCACAAGAAACCTTCAACAAGAAACCCAACCCTGAGACCCCAGGACGTCCATTGACGTTTGGCGTGGGAACGTCACGCTTTCCATGGCAAAACCATCGAAACCCAAGAGACCCAGGGCACCCTGGACTACAATCCCGCCCCCACCGCCCAACCGACCGACTGACCGACCGACGCCATGGACAGCCACAAAAAGAATGGAGCGAAGATGTTGACTCTCCTGGGGTGCCAAGCCACACATTTGCAGGCCCGCCCCTGGGGGAGTGGGTGCGCCTTACCTTCCCCTGCCCCCCCCCCCCCCCACCCCTCTCCCCCGACTCTTGTGTTGCATCTTTGAGGGGCCTCATCTGTCCCACCGCGCCAGCCATCAAGTCAAAACCATGTCGAACGCATCGAGTCTGTGTCGAAAACACGTTGAATCCACGTCGAACCCGTGCCGAACCCATGTCGGGGCACAAGAGAAGACTGCCACAGGAAAAGTCCTTCGAAGATACAAAAAACATCCCTTGCAACACAGACGCCATGAAACGGATCTGGCCTGCGATAGCAACCTCCTGCACAGGTGTGAGCCCAGAAAGCCAGCGCCGCCAGTGACTAGGATGCGCTTGAACTCAGCGGGCTTCTCCTGCGGCAACCCGCGCCCACGCAGCCAGGAGATGGGAAGACATCTACTGGCGCAAGCTCCACGAGGGATTGAAGCAACCAATCGGAAAGAGACACATACTCTGGATGGGGCAATAATCGCCCCTCCCCCGTGGATCCGCTGGGTGGGTCGGGCACATGCTGTCGGAACGGGTGGAGGGGGGTTGAAGGAGGAGGAGGAGGAGGAGGAGGAGGAGGAGGAGGAGGAGGAGGAGGAGGAGGGGAGGAGGAGAGAGAAGGAGAAGGAGAAGGAGAAGGAGGAGGAGGAGGAGGAGGAGGGCGAGGGAGGGGAGGAGGAGGAGGAGAAGGAGGAGGAGGAGGCGGAGAGGAGGAGGAGGAGGCGAGGAGGGGAGGAGGGAAGAGGAGGAGGAGGAGGGGGAGAGGAGGAGGAGGAGAGAGGGGAGGGGAGGAGGAGGGAGGAGGAGAGGAGGAGAGGAGGAGGCAGGAGGACGAGGAGGAGGACGAGGAGGAGGAGGAGGAGGAGGAGGAGGGGAGGGGGAGGCGGAGGAGAGGAGGAGGAGGACGAGGAGGAGGGGGAGGAGAGGAGGAGGAGGAGGAGGAGGATGAGAGAGGAGGAGGAGGAGGAGGAGGAGGAGGAGGAGGAGGGGAGGAGGCAGAGAGGAGGGGGGGAGGAGGAGGAGGAGGAGGAGAGGAGGAGAGGAGGAGGAGGAGGGCGACGAGGAGGAGGAGCAGGAGGAGGAGGTGGAGGGCGGGGGGGGGATGGGCAATCTCCGTGGGAAAGTTAGTCGCCAACCCCTCGATGAATACCCCCTCCGGAGTACGCCGGGAAGTGCAGCAGCGCGAGAGCGCGACGGGCAGGGCCCAGGAGTGGTGGTGCGTGCCCCGCCTGGCCGCAGGCCCTGCCCTGGCCGCAGGCCCCAGCCCTGCCTTCCGCCCTGCCCAGCCTCTGCCAATGCACCGCCTTCCCCTCTATACCGTGCCATGTCTGCCCTGCCTCTGCACCGCACGTGCCTTGCCTTCCCTCCGCCTCCCTCCCTCCCTCCCTCCCCTCATTCCCCCCCTCCCCCCCCCCTACCCTTCCCATTCCTACATCCCCCCTCCCCTCCCTACCCCCCCCCCCCCCCCCCCCCCCCGCCCAAACCCCCCCCCCCCACCCCCCCCACCACCCCCCCTCCCTCCCTCCCGGACGCTGCACCTCCGCAGCCCTCGCCAGCCCAGCGATGCCGTCACCTGCCCTGCCCCTCCCTGCCCTGCGCCCTCCCCGGCCTGGCCGTGCCCTGCCGTGGCAAGCAAGAACGCGACCAAGCAGCACACGTTGGCAAGCGAGCGAGCGAATGCGAAAAGCAGCCAAAAGATCGGACGTGCAAGCAAGCCGAACAGGAGTGGTCAGCATCATCGGCACATCAGACAGACAGAGCCCGCGCCGAGGCACCTACGAGGGTGCGGCGGGTGGGCGCCAGGGCGCCGATAAGGGTTGGCCGCTCAGAAACAGCCGGAGTCGGAGCGGTAAGAGCGGGAGTCGGAGAAGGAAGCGGAGGAGTCGGAAAGAGCTGGGAAGATGGCAATGGCTAGGGGGCTGGAGTCGGAGAGGTGCGAGCTGGAGTCCGAACAAGAGAGGGGCTGGAATCGGAGAGGTGTCACCGAAAGTGCGACCCCATATCTTGCCAATAATCCGTCGACGCGGTATCGAGAACAGCTACAATACCCATGTCGTCACACCACATCGTATCTTCGACATGCTTTTTAATGTCGTCGTTCCATCTGGTTTTGGGTCGTCCCGTCCTCCGTCTCGCATGGTATGCGGGGTCATGTTGTGGCGTCCAAAGAATTACCTGTCGAATCCATTCGTGCTCTCCGGCTGTACTCAACTTCAGTATCCACTGCCATCTCCTTTGCTGCACTGCATAGACCCTGTCGTTGAGCCGCAGTCGTGACATTGCTTCTTCAGCTGCACGGGAACGGGCCCAGCAGGATCTTTTGAGAAGTGTCCAAAATCGACGGCGAGCCTGGGGGAAAGTGAGAAGGGGCGGGCCTTCCCGGAAGGCTCAGAAGTCCCCCGGCCTTCTGAGAAGTTGTCTAAGCCTTCCCCGGAGACACAGAACACCTCTCAGAAGGCGCGAGGGCTTCTGAGAAGTCCCGCCGCCTTCTGAGAAGGCCTTCTCCTTCTCACTTTCCCCCCTTCGCCCGCCGCCGACAACGGGAGTCCCGTTCGAGCGCGGCCACGCCGCCCCACCCCCTTCGTAGACAGCACCCTCCAGCGACGACCTCCCCCACGAGCTGGACAGATGGCCAGTGGAACGTCTGCAGGGCGCTAGGTTCGTGCGGCGTCGGCGCGCACAGAGGTTTTTGACACAGCGTCGATCGCTCAACCTTGAGCCGATCGCGGCACCGATCGTTCAAGTTTTAACTCTGTCGGGTCCAGTGGCGTTGCCGCGTCCCTGGGTGCGTCCGCGTCGCAAACTCGACATTGAACGCCTTCGCAGGCATCGCCGGCGCGCCAACGCCGCATGAACTTACCGTATGGAAAGAGAGGCAAGGATACCCATGACCTCCAAATCGGATCCTCATCATACAATGACAGTCGGCCGCTTCAGTGCTGAGCCAAAAATACCACTGGTGTACTGGCTCACGACGGGAGACGCCAACTCTCGGGAGCGCTCAGCCAGAGTCATTCAACGACCCATAGCCAGTGGCGAGAGAGGGGCTAGGTAGAGCGCGCTGGAGCCGCAAGTAGGCAGAAAAGACTACGAAGAGCTGCGACGAGGCTGCTGCTGAAAGCCACAGCAATGTGTCAGGTCCGCGACGCACGAAGCCCACAACGGTCAGTCCGCACTGGCTAGCGCTAGCAACAGTTGGAAACTGATCATGGGTTCTAGTCCTGTCCCCAACAGGACTGACACTAAACTTGGGCCTGCTTCTGCACCGGGGCGCCCATCTCTGAGCTCCAGAGCCCGCATAAGAAATACTACAGTAGCACGTCGGGGATTCTGGCAACATCTGATCTGCATTCGGCAGTTCTGCAAATGAATTGAGGTTGGAGCTCGTGAATGGCCGACCGTTAAGCTTCTGAGCTAATGTCGTGACGAGCAGGTGCGGAGCGCGTGAAAACCCAGCCGTGTACTCAGCCGCTCAGGCCACAGACGTCACTGTGCAAACTAGCGGCCGCGCCCAGCCCCTTCAGCCGCGCGAGCTCACCGTCATAG